TCATTCTAAGTTACTAGTATATTGCTGATTTCAGTTAACTCCATATTATATTTTTAAATTTTCTCCAGCATTGAGATATTTAATATGTGACAACCATTATATAATAATTTAATGACAATCAACTATATATTAAACACTTATACCCAGGTAAGTGTGAAAAGAGGGGGTCAATGGCCAGCCCGTAAAGGGAGGTAAACCTACCTCTTTATAACATTACAATTTTTCCTATAAAAGAGAGGGGAAAAAAACTGGATCACTATAATATCTCATGACTGGTCTTTAAAATCAAATTATTGATTGCAAAAAGATCTTAATCACTCCATTTTGGAAAATTACCATCAAGTTTAGGTTATCTGATTCCTGCAGGTACTCCAATTAAATGTTTTACTTATTAAAAATTCATTAAAAATAATAGTTGATATTCAAAGTCAGAATCTGTTGACCATCATATAATTATTCACTTTCAGTTGCAATCTTTCCAATTTTCGCTTTCGTTATGTAAAGGAAAGATTTACTATTAAGTGAACTAAAAAATAAATACAGTGTATTTTGTATCTTTCAAATGATTACTTTGATGTATTAAACTTTCCTCTAAGCAAATGTTCGAACTGTTTACAAAGCATCTATGTTTACATGAAATGTTAGGAAGTTTTGCATTGATTTCTGTCACAAAATTGTTGCAATATTGCATATTTGATACTGTGTGCATATATGTCATATGAAATTTAGATAGTTGATTTTTATTAACGCTTCTGACTTTTTATTATATTCTCTAATAATCGTCTGATAAATTTTCACCATATCTGTTGAATTTTAAAAAGAAATAAAAGTAAAATCTTATTAACATTTTCTGTTTTTATTATAACTATCATAGCTAATGTTACACCACCCAAAAAGAAGAAAAAATTACACTTCAGAGTTGACGGTACAAGTGTTATATTCTGCAGAAATACTGAGATTGACCTCTTTATGACTAAATTGATAATGAGGTACACTGTAGGCATTGAGCACTGGTTGAAAAGAAAGCCATTCTTAGTAATTTTATGCTTAGATCAAGCCCAATTACAGAAAATGAATAAAAAGAGGTAGTCCATACTCTAACATCTACATGCATAATTCTTGCAAGTAAAGGTCTTACTCAGGTGAGCGATGTGGCCCCTGGGCCTCTTGTTGTTCTTTTGTTTTTATTTGTCTAATCTTCTCTGTTCTCTCTTTGCCGGGACTTCATCATTGGAGATGGTGGAATGAGGACTTGGAGGAGGCTGGGCTCATTGGATTGGAACAGCATGCCAACAGCGCTGGATCATAGGTATTTCTTAGTCCATAAGAAAGAGCCAAGGTAGGATCGTTTCATTATTATTATTTTGACACTCCTAATAAATACTAACATTTCTCTCCCCTCCCCAACTCTCAGCACATCTTTTGTAATGGTTTATTGTTTTGCTATTGTTCAATTGTTCTATATGTTTGTAATAGTTATTTTGTTTTTTGTTCTATTGTTTTTTATTTGTCCAATCTTCTCTGTTCTCTCTTTGCCGGCTTTTCATCGTTGGAGAGGGTGGAACGTAGGACTTAGAGAAGGATGATGGTTTTATTGAATAGATGCATCAGTTCATCAGTGCTGGAACTGAAGGTATTTTTAATGAAATAATGTTGAAAATAATCTGCTTTTTTGTTGAAATCTTCATAGATGGGAAGTTGTTACTAAGGGGGGCCATCTTGGATTTCGTATATGGGGTCATTGAGTGCAAAATGAAAAAATTTTAAGTTTATCGTGTGACAAATCAAGTTGATGGTCTCTATGTGTGGCATTCAGCCTGTAGGACACCACACTGATGTAGGACATTGTCTTATATTAAATACAAGTTTGTGAAACACCATTTGGCAGCTTATGACAAAGATTGAATCTTCTCAATGCATCAATCTTTAAGGGTCAAGGTCAAAAGTGGTGGTACCTAAACAAAGGTTAATTTGTTATGAGGAGTATGCCTGTGAACTATTGTGAAAGCAAAAACTTTAATTGTTCAAAAGTTATGACCAAGGTTAAAGTTTTTATAAAGCAGGTCAAACTCTAAAGTCAAGGTCAAAAATATTTATACCTACTGAAAGGATTGTCACAGGAACACACATGACGTGAAGTATGAAAGCCTTAGCTCCAACTGTTGAAAAGTTATGGCCAAGGTAACAGTGTGGTATTTTTTTGTATAAGTGGGTCAAACTCCAAGGTCAAATTTGGTGGTACCCAGAGGAAGGTCTTGTCATAAAAATTTTAGATCTATTAAATTTACATATTTCATTCACTGGAGTTAAGTACACCTCACGCATGTATTAAATTCTCAGAAAATTGATTTCATCTGAATTGAGGAATTTCCTAATTTTTTACTTTCTTGTAACCCCCACGGACATTTTAAATCAGAAGAAATAACCAGCATTTAAAGTAATTCATTGCAAATCTTACTGCATTTTGATTTTTATATTCAACAGGGGACATATACATTGTCCATTGATTTTAATTCCCACCATCTTTTCATGACAAAATTTTCCCAATATGCAATAAGAAGTGTTTCACATCTTAGTATTTTGTGTCCCAGTCTATTTCAAGCCCAATCCATGGAACTGCACTTTATCAGAAATTGGCTTTTTGAGACAATAGATCAGGCTACAGATTCATGAAACTGATATGAACTTGAGTCAAAATTTCAATTATCTATAAAATGTTTAAAACTTGTTAAATGAAACTGAATTTGCATGCATGAGAGCAGATATATGATGCAAAATTGGAAAGCATATACAGTAAAACTCGTTTAGTACGAACAAGAAAACGGATATTGCAAATTCACGGATATAGCGAAGTCATTTAGGTTCCCCAGCTATATAAATTCAATGAATTTCTTATACGGATATGACGAATTACGGATATAGCGAAGTAATTTCAAAGGTCCCAGCAACTTCGTTTTGACCGAGTTTTGCTGTATTCATTTCGAATTACGTGGCTTCTAAGATATATCAGCATCAAATCCATTTTTGGACTTAAGCTTAAGATGTTTCTTGATTCCAGGCCCTATATAAAGAATTATAAGCTTTTCTTAACTTTATAATGTTGATTTGTCAATATTCGTAGCCCCTTGTTGTCACTTCCAGGATAAGGTGTGAAAAAGACAACAGGAAGTGGTAGTAACAACTTTGAGGAAGCACACCTGATGTGGAATCAGCAACTGCACCCAACAGGACTTGGTGGAAACAAATGGAGAAGACGAGCCTTATGGATGTCCACCCCCCATCCCCCTTTCAAGACATGTCAAAGTAAATAATGGACAATGATCAGGTATTTGACGTAATCATGGTCCAAGACCAACGTATTAATAAAAAAAATTCCAAATTACAATGGCTTTCCTCAGAATAAATCAACACAGCTGCAGATAACTGGTTTGAATGATAAATGATTTGTGATAAATTTAAGAGACATTTTTTATCCCAATTTTTAGGTTGCCTGAGTTTACTATCGCCATTGCCATCTCTTTTCGTCCGTCGTCATACGTCATTCATCGGTCATAAACTTTTGAACATTTTTAGCTTCATCTCTGGAACCACTGAACCAATTCGTTATAAAGCATCTATGGGTGAAGGGGAACAAAAATTATGAATTTCATGGTCCCTGCCTCCCTGGGCCTGAGGGGTGGGGCCAAAACCACTAAAATTAAAATTAATGCAGTCTTTAAAAATCTTCTTTTCTCCTGGATTTCAAGCAGTCAAATTTTTTGCATGATTGTAATCAGCATTGAGTCTTTTATCAAAATTGTGAAATTCATGGCCCTGGGGTCAGGGGTTCTGATGTTAGGGCGGGGCTCTATTGATTATATAGTGAAAATGCATTAATTCTTTGAAAACCTTCTTCTCTGCTTCTGGGTATTAAATAAACTAACTAAGTACATAGTTGTGATGAGTAACAGTGCCTCTACCAAATTTTTGAATTTCATGGCCCTGGGGTCAGGGGTTCTGGTGTTAGGGCGGGGTTCTATTAATTATATAGTGAAAATGCATAAATTCTTTTAAAATCTTCTTCTCTGCTCCTGGAAATTAAACAAACTAAACAAGTACATAGTTATTATAAGCAAGAACATCTCTTCCAAAATTGTGAATTTCATGGCCCCTGGATTGGGGGTTCTGGTGTTAGGGTGGGGCTCTATTGATTATATAGTGAAAATACATTAATTCTTTAAAAATTTTCTTCTTTGCTCCTGAGTATAAACCAATGAACTATGTACATAGTTATGATGAGGAAGGATGTCTCTTCTAAATGCATAAATTTCAGGGCCCCAGGGTCACGAGTTTTGGTGTTAGGGCAGGGCTCTAATGATTTTATTGTGAAAATTCATCATTTCTTCAAAAATCTTTAGTTTTCCCTTGCTATTGGGTATTATGCCAATGTTCTAAGTACATATTAATGATGATAAAAGGTGCCTATTCTGAAATGATTTATTTCAGGGCCCCTGGGTCAGGGTACTTGGGGTGGAGGTTACATACTAGTAGTCTGAAAATAAATTGATGCTTTGATATCTGCTTTTTGGTATTAATCAACCATTTAGATGATATAAAATTTATAATAAAATTTCCAGAATTTTGAAATATGTTCCTCCAGGGTCAGTGGTTCCTGTGGGGTGGGGTGCACAACTGGTTATAAGGTGGAAATGTATTTTCTCTGTTACTCTTATTTACCTCTGGGTATTAAGTAAGCAGGGTAAGCAAGCTAAGTGACTGTATAGTTATGATAAGCAATTGTGCCTCTTTCAAAACTTTGAATTTCATATGTGGCCTTTCATTTAAAACACGAACAAATTCAATTGTTGGAAAGTTGTTACATAATACTCAGGTGACCTATAAGGCCCGTGGGCCTCTTGTTTTTTTATGAGATATGAACACATCTTTTGTGGTCAGTTTATATTTTAAGCTTAATATCCATGGCAATGCACTTTATCGAGATGCCTTTTTGAGAGAGAAAGTACAGCTGCACCCAGATATCATGGAAACAACTGCAGGAGGAAAAACTCATGAACATTATGATCTTCCAAGATATGAAAACAGTGGTCACACCCTAGAGGACTTGGTGGATATAACTGCAGGAGGCAAAAACTGATGGACAGTTCTTAAATGTGGAAACCACCTGCAGCCAACAGGACTTGGTGGAAACAAGTGAAGGAGGCCAGGATGATGGTTGCTAACCCTCCCCCCCCCAACACTCCCTTCAGGACAAAACAAAGTAAATTACAGACACTCATCAGGTATGTGACATATCTTCTTATTTATAAAAAGTTCCACAATAAATAGCTACAATTCAGAATAAATCAATGCATTTTCATTACAAACAAATGTATAATTATAAAAAAAAAATGAGGTCTTAAAGGACTTTCTACATATCAAGTGAACAATAAAGAGGTTGGTTGCTTTCTTATTGAGTAAAAACATAAGTTAGGAGTTTGAAAACTTTCTTAATTTGAAGTTAGGCTCATCACAATATTCAATTTATTTTGGCCACCATCCTAAACCAAAAAGACATTTAAGTGTAAAAATAAATACTGTAAATCGTTTTAATTCCACGGTGTTAAAATTTCACGATATCTCAAAAAGTACCAAATGCGATGGGTTTAATTTCACGCCGCAAAAATATAATTCAAAATTTCGTATTAGCATTTAAACGTTTTAAAAACTAATAATAGCATTTACGATGGGTTTAATTTCGCGGAAAAATGATGAATCGCGAACATAGCGAAAATAAAACCATCGTGATTATTTGCCAATCTACAGTAATGCATGTTTTTGAAGGCAACAGTTGAAATTGACATCTGAAAGAAAAATTATTATAAATCTCTGCTGGCATGAAGGTTGACATTGGTTTTTGTTTGGAACTGAATATCAACAGTTAATTATCCTAAATACATCAACTATTCATATATTGCTTTTTACCAAAGAAAAATCCTTTTTGTGTTAAATATATTAATTGTACAGTAATTAAAACACATGTAAAAAGAGGTTAATCATTGGGTTAAATTTCAGGATTGGTCGTTGTATTTAATTACAGGTCACATATTTTTAGAGCTTTTCTTTGATCTGATGCTACAGAGTCTATATGTGTTTTCTGACCTGACCAGTGTTTGGATTTGAGGTCATCTTACCTATATGGTGAGAATCATTCTGTTTGTTTTGATAGAAATATAACAATCTTTCAGTTTTTGAAGAGCTAGCTAGCATTTTGATAAACAGTTGTTAATGAACTATATTGGTGTATTATAATTCATCCATATCATTGCATGGCCAGCACTTCGGACACCTAAGCATATAATGAATACATTCATACATGACTTTTTTGGTCAAATGATTGAAGATTTCTTTTCTGTTTTCTTCTAGTGGATGCTGCAACATGTGATGATTCCTCTTCTTATAAGTTGTAAGATTTGGAGACCATACCAAATGTGGAATTACCAGTAGGCAGATTTTGTGTGTACTTGGTTGGCTGGACATATTTGAGAACGAGGGATCATTAAGGTATATGGCAAAGTTACCTTGTTTACTATTTGGCCTTTTATTGTAATTTTGCAGTATATATCAAAATCATATCAAAAATATCATATTATGTAACAATTTTCCAATACATTTGCCCATTGTGGCCTAATTGGGTCATAACTTGAATCTACATTACTTGAGGATGCTTCCATACAAATATGACCAATCATGGCTTTGCTGTTCTTTAAAAGAAGATTTCTAAATATTTTCTTTTATATTTCTATGTAAAACTTTGATCATCCCTTTGGCCTTGCTGTATCCCCAAGGGGGCATGATTTGAACAAACTTCAATCTACATTACCTGAGGATGATTTCGCCTAAGTTTCATCTATCCTGGCACAGTGATTCTTGAGAAGAAGATTCTTAAAAAGTGCCACCAAATTTTCACTATTTCTAAATAATATCTTTCATCTGAACTAACTTAAATCCTCTTAACCCAAGGATACTTTTTGGCAAGTTGGTTGAAATTGGCCCAGTGGTTCTGGTGAAGAAGTTGAAAATGTAAAAAGTTTACGGACGGACTGACAGGCGGGCCTATATGAACAAAATGTGATCAGAAAAGCTCACTTGAGCTTTCAGCTCATGTGAGCAAAAAAAAGATAAATGTCAATGGTTCAGATTTTGGTGAAGTATACTTTGATTTAATGTATATATTTTGAAGACCCTATGTTAATTTTTATAGGTTTTTCATTTGTCTCCTTTTAAAAAATGTCATTTTTGTCAAATTCATGGATTCAAATCATTTTTTAAAATATATATTTGAAGACTCTATGTAAAAAGCATTTTCCTGTGTTTTTTCATATTTATTGAAGCAATACATGTACGCGTTCAAAAATCAAGAGTGTCCTATTCTAAAATTTTGAATTTCTTAGGGTCAGGGTTTTGTTAGAGGGGGATTCTATTGATTATATACTGAAAGTACATAATTTCTATGAAAATCTTCTCTATTTCTGGGTATAAAGCAAACAATTAAACATATACAGTAAAATCAGGAGTGCCTCTTCAAAAATTTTAAATTTGTTAGTTTGTAATGATTGAAATGCCTCTTCAAAAAAATTGTGAAATTTGTGGCTTGGGGTTCTGATATAAAAGCATTCTAGCACGTTTTTTGCTGTTTTTTTTTTTTTTATAAAAAAACTGCAACTTTAAAAAACATTTTTGTAAAGTGTGTCCAATTTACAAATGGGTATGGGGTCACCCAATTCAGACAAGAAAAAAAACAGTTCTTGTAAAGTGTGTCCATATTACAATTGATTATATAGTGAAAGTACAACTGTACATATATAGCTTTATTGAAAATCTCTATTCTTGGGTATTAAGCAAACAATCCAAATGTTTAGTTGTGATGATGGAAATGCCCCTTCGGAATATTAGCCCCCCTCTTCCTTTTGATGCCAATGAGAAAATAATAAGCTAGTATTGTTTAAAACAAGTCTCTTGCATCTGACAGGTTGAAGCAAACACATCAAAGGATGGTGATAAAGAAGTTCATCTTCAACAGTGTGAGAAAGAACTGGAAATCATGCAATGCTGACAGATGGTGACCCTACATGATATGGAAATGAGCAGCTACAGTCAGACAGGAATTGGTGGAAAAACCTAGAAAATGCAATTCTGATGAATGTTGATCTCTCAAGGACTACAACCAGGCAGAGTTGGTGGAATCAACTGGAAAAGACAAGACTGATGGATGTTAACCTTCCCAACAGCAAGACTTGCCACAATGGATTACTGTCACTGATCAGGTATGTGTCACATAAGAAACATTTCAAGATCTTAATTTTTTTTGAAGAGGTACTGAGTCAAAGAATATTATCTTTAGTTAGAGTTGTATAATATTTAAATTAGATACAGTAAAACTCCGTTATAACGAAGTCACTGGGACCTATGAAATTACATCGCTATAATCTGTAATTCGTTATATTCCTATAAGGAGCTTTACTGTATATCTATTCTTTTATTATTTTCTGTTTTATGCAGATAGAGGCTTATAAGTATTGGTATATATAAACTTTTGTTTTATAGTGTGTTTTGATGATTTGGTGACAGTACCCAGTATGAGACTCAGATGAAGTCTGACATGTGGATGTGCTTGGCATGAAAGACAAGAAACCTTCAGGTATGTGAAAGCTAGCTACCCTTTGTATGCCATTTTTTGTGACTCTTGGATTCTCATTTTTACTTTGTCAGTTCTTATTGTTAATTAATTTTTTTTCCTCATTCATTGACAGAAAATAAAAGCATTGAAGAGGCATATCCTTGAGATCATATTTGGAGAAAATCAATGAAAAGTGACATTATGCAGAAAGCCAGATCTGTGAAGCACACACAAGCACATCCATTTTTATTGTCCAAAACAAATTTGTTCGAGGCATTTGTTTTGGAACGGGGTGTCTGAGTTGTAAGAGGGTATGGGGTCACCCACTCAGACACGTGGGTTTTCTCCGGGTGCTCCGGTTTCCCCCCACACTGACCCCTCATTCTTTTTCTCTATGTGCAAATGAGATACAGTTAATTCTCGATAAACCGCCACCTTTTGTAATTTAGAAATCATGGCGGTATAACGATTTTGGCGATGAATTGTTTTAGAGTTACCGTTCTTAGAAATACCAAGCGTTATTACATGTACATGTATATAATAAAAACATATTTCTGATTGAAAATACTTCATGTAATTTTTTAATGTACGAATACGCTAAAACAAAATGTGCAGTTATGAAATAAAGAAAAGTACATTGGTGTGCATTTAAATCTGCAGTTTTGCTATTGAAAAAAAATGCTGGGTCGATCGTCGTGATATATTGCCGATAGTAAGTAAAATGAATTCTTGAATAAATTTGTTTATGGCAACATTGTTAATTAAACATTCACAATTCATACCGTATTATTATTTTTTCAGCAAACTTCGCAATTCATCTAAATTATATAGTTATCGGCGGACTTTAACAACGACCGCTTTCGTGGCTAAGCGGTGACTAAATGATTTTTATTAAACAGAAAACAAAATTATTATAACAGTTCATGTTAAAATCTCTGTTTATTTAGTTCTTGTTTAATTACTTAATTGCATGTACCTTGTCTGCCTTTGCATGCTTTACAACAGGGATAGTCAACCAATTAGCCGCGCTTCACTGACCACGCGCACCTGTGGCGGTAAGAGGACACTTAAAAATGGACGTTTGTTGTGAAAACAGTATGCGAATTTGGCGTTATAAAGAGAATTTTATATAGCAGGAAAAACGTTTAGGGAAATCATCGGTATTGCGAGAATGGCGATGAATCGAATGGCGATAATTCGAGAATTGACTGTAATTACAATTTAGATCATTTATCATTTGTTTTGCTCTAAAGTTATTTGACATTATCATATTTATATTGTAAAGTACGTGTTAAAATGAAGTAGTTGAAGGTTAGTTGATAATAGGCTTTATCGATACCCTGGGGCATTACTGGTTGGAACTTAAGTCCTCGGGGAGGAGAAGCTGAAAGGGTCTAGATGGAGGCTGCTTTGTCTTTTATGATCATGCAGATAAGTTTATACAAAAACAAATTATATATAAATATTTATTGCAGATGTAGTGATTGTTTATATATTAAATGAGTATATTCCTATAATGTTCAAATTCTGTCAGCAGTTGTACAAGTAATAATTTGTATAGTTTATTCTAATTGCTAACTTATTGTGAAATTGAATGAGTTTTATACCTATGTGTCACAGACTAAATACATGTGCAGTAAAAATAATTGATAAAATTTGATGTGATATGATTTGTATTTGAAATGTACCTTTATGATCTGAAAATGTTAAATTATGATTTTTAAATGCTACATTCTGATTTGTATATGTAAAGTACAATATGTGAATGTTGAATTGTATGTTACATTTCATCAACAAGTTTTTTGAAGAAAGAAAAAACAAAAAAAAAACAACCTAAAAAAAAAATTAAAAAAATAAGCAAAAAAAAAAAAAGGAAGAAAGGAAAACAAAAAAAAAAAGAAAGAAAGAAAGAAAGAAAAAAGAAAAACAAGAAAACATAACAAAAAATGAAAGAAAAAAGAAAAAAAAATGAAAGAAAAAAAAAAGAAATGAAAAAAATGAAAGAAAAACAACAAAGAAAGATATGAAAAAAAAATTAAAAAAGAGCAAAACAAAAAAGCACAAAACTTTTAATGCTGCCTGCTTGAATTAACATATTTTTATGTTTTTTCAAGCAGAAGGTTCCAAGCCCTTGTAAAAAAGCAGAAGAGAAGTTTTGATATGACATTACTGAATTCCGGAGTCCCGAATTCATGTAGACACAACTGACGTGACAATTATTTAATCAAATTATGGTGTCTTTGATTTTGATATTTTTGTGCAGTTTTTTTTGCTGAAATGAGGTGCATAGTCATGATTTCCAATTGCAACTTTGTTGCTCTCATAAGATGAACTATTATCAAGTGTACAGTTAAAGTAAGGAGGAATGCTTGTACATGTATATACCAAAATTTTATTTGATAGCTCATAATTGAGAAATCCCTTTTAAATTAAGGTTTATGCATTGAAATACTGATATATCGATCAGTTGTGAATTATTTAAAATGAATTATTTATGCATTTTCTTCCCAGAAAAATTAAATTGCTTTATTTGCAAATAAGAAACTATGTTTTTATTCCTTATTGTGGCCCCATCCTTCCCCATTAGGCTTCATGAATTTGAACAAACTTGAACTTTCAATCTCTACCTCTTAGAATTTATGCATATAAATATAAATATATAAATATGGAATATAAAGTGTGTCACTGCTCTTCTTGAGAAGATTTTGATAATATCTATATTACCAGAGAATATATATTCTCTGTAAATTTAGGCCAGATGGATAAAAAAATGTTTACACCAGTGGACCTAGCTGCATGAATTACTGTAAAAAAATGGGATGGACTGATTGATTGTAGAGAGCTACAGTAATTCAGGCAGTCACCCTTTGAAAAATTGTAAATTTATGATGCCAGATGGGTTAAAAATTTATTACAGAAACAAGTGCTTGTGTACATGAACTACATTATTATACCACCTGCAAACTAATTTGGGGAATATAGGAATCAGTTTGTCTATCTGTCCGTCTGTCTGTGCAAACGTGTCTGGTCCATATCTTTCTCATAGAGGAACATTAGAATCTGCTACTTCACACAAAGATTGCTGATGACCTAAGGATATGTCATGACCTTGACACAAGGTCATTTGGGCAAGTTCAAGGTCACTGAAAGAAAAAAATTCATATTTTGTGTCCCGTCCATATCTTTCTTATGGATAAACTTAGGGAGCTCTCATTTCACACAAAAATTGCTTATGATCTAAGGGTGTGTTGTGCCCTTGACAAAAGGTCATTTGTGCAAGTTCAAGGTCACTGAAAGAAAAAGTTTATAATTCATGTTTTGTCCATATCTTTCTTATGCAAAAAGCTTGAATCTACTACTTCACACAAAGATTTGTCGCCCATATGGCACAGTGATTAGAGCATCTGCTCTAGAGTCCCGAAGTAAAGAGTTGATCCTTATGTTGCTGATGAAAAAATTCAACTGGAGACTGGTCCTTCGGATAAGACTATATAAACCGAGGTCATGTGTTGCATTAGGTGCTGGCATGAAAAAGATCCCTTCGTACTCAATGACACTGAGTGCCAATTGCATATTGGACAAAATTTGCAGCTGTCTTCACTGGCAAGTGGTGGCATCTCCATATAAGTGAAAAATTCTTTAGAGGGAAGTTAAACAATATACAATCAATCAATCACACAAAGATTGATTATGACATGAGAGTGTGTCATTATCTGAAGTTTCTGAACCCATACAAAGTCATCTGTCCAAGTTCAAGGTCACTGAAAGACAAATTTCATAATTTGTGCCCAGCTAGTCCATATCTTTCTTATGGATAAACTCTAAGTGAGTTCCTATTTTATACAAACATTGCTTATGACCTGAGGGTGTTACATGACCTTGACCCAAGGTCATTTGTGCAAGTTCAAGGTCACAGAAAGAAAAAAAGTTTATAATTTGTGTTTGGTCTGTATCATATTAGTATTGATGTTTTATAAGGCTGTATGCCTTAGTTTCATTTATTAAAAACATATAATCAATTTTCAGTAAAATTTCACTCTAAATGTTTAAACAAATTGTGAACACCAATACTAGCATTTATAAATACATGTAACTTAATTTGCACCTTATCTATAAAAAAAATTGGGGGGTTGTCCCTTTTGGACAGTTCTAGTTTTAATAGATATGCAGTTACCGGTGGTCCAAGAGGAAATTTATGTATTTTCAACTATTTTCAACTTTCAACTTAATTTTCAAATTAACAATTAAGGCTAGAAAAGACCCTAAGTTAACAATGTTTTTTACCCATTTCCAAATTCTCTTAAAAAGATTAAATTGAATTTGAAAATTAAAAAATTAAAGATAGGCCTAATTATTTTGCATGTTGACAAAGTTATCGTGCAAGCTGACATATTTTCTTGCATGATGACATAATTTATCCTGCATGTAGGGAGCAGAAAGAAGCTTAGGACTAAATGAGCGTCAAATATGATACTTTGGATCCACCCACCTGTTGTCAAGGGCACGTAACTCTAAACACAGGTGAGACTTCCGGTAGATGCCTCGCAGATGATTACAATGAAAGCCACAGCACCTGTCAAAGCACATTGACACCTGAGGGTCGAACGCTTTCATATTCTCATAAATGTAGTGCATAAAATATTACCGATGGTCAATAGCCAAAATGGTGGACGTAAACGGACTACCGCCTTTACCCAAGTGTTTTTCTGAGGCGGAGATCTCAAATATAGACTGTGAACATCACAAAGAAGAAACAAATCAAAACTCAGACCAACGAATACTTGTCAATGGAGAAATTAACGATTCTGAGAAAATGGACCACTCGAGGTTGAACGGGGTCGTGGAAGATTCGGGTGTTGACGATAAACCACGGTCACCATATTCAAGGCTAAACAATGCTTTGTCAAAGCTCCGGGAAGAAATGGTCAGTGTTAACACTAAAATTTTATTGCTTCCATTAAGTTTTAAAAACCTTACATCTAAAAATCTGATAATATTGTCATGCATATATTTATGCATGCATGAAAAAACTTAATTACAGTTTAACTTCGGTATGTCGAACACTGATATCTTGAATACCATGGATATTTTGAAGTGATTTAATTGGTCCCAATCGCTTATTCAATAAGTATTTCACACTGTATTTCTCGAACCTTCAGGTTCAAGATATTGAAGTTGACTGTATTATCAACTGTACAGAATGTAGAAATACATAGTTTGAACACAGGGTAGTCACGATCAATTTGCGACCACCCCCTACATAATTACAATTGTAGTGGTTTAGATTTTTATTTCAAAACCATCGTTTCGTAATTCATTATTTACAAGTATTTGCTGGTATTTCAATCTGATAATTCTATTTACCATTTGTTTTCAGTTGTTACTTACATAAAAGCCCTTTATTATTTGTCTTTTATAAGTGAGGACAAGTTGACATTCCACATGTTTTGCTTTTTAAACAGGAAATGTCATCCATGTGTAGTCTATTAGTACTTTTGATACCTGCGTTCTGATTGGTTAATTTAGCTATAGGATCTTTGATAGTCATTGGTTTTTATTTTGGGCCTTGCCAGGGTATTTAAACCCGTGGAGCAGTTTTCTTCACTTGGGTTGGGGAACACAACCTCATGGTTAGTTCCTCTTTTCTGTGCTAAGAAAACCTCATGGTTTATGAGCACTATTTGATTAGAGAGAGCTAAGAAAACCTCATGGTTTAACAGTTCTCTAGGTTTTAGCTTAGATTTAGTTTCACGTTTTTCACATGTTAGGAAACAGTTAGGATGTAGGGTATTTAAATTAAATTTAGTTTCCCCTTTCCAAGTCCAGCCTGGTATATATATGTAGATAACAGGTTTATTTTCTAGAACCACTATTTATTATTTATTTTTGGGTGTTGTTTATTTTCTGGGTCAGTTATTTTTAAGCCTATAAGAATTAGTATTGATATTTCCAGATTAACTCTAGAGTGTTGATAGTGTCATATTGGGTGATGTAGCTCATTCCTTTTACATTTTTTTCATCTCTTTAGGATTTTTGACTATTTTCATAAGTATGGAGGCCCAGTAGGGACATAGATTATTTTTCATAAGTTTGCCACATTCCTTCCATTTTTCATTACATTTTTCAATTATTTATTTATTGAGGTTATTCATTGAGATTATTGAGATTCATTTTTTCAGATTAAATTACATTTTATTTTTGATAAAGCTTTATTTATCCTGTGCCATTTTCAAAGACTTTTCTGTTTGTTAAATTTTGATCATTATTTATTATTTGTTATCATTTACAACGGTTAATTCTCACTTTATTAAATCTATAAAACTTACAACTGTGTTTTCATTTAGCGTTGACCATAGTTCAGAAATCCCCTTACCTGGGTTGATCATTGATAACTGGAGATATTACTCCTTTAAGCCGAGTTGGCTAGTAACTTTGGTAATTTATACACTGAAGAGTTCTACTTCCGGTTACATAATTTTTGGTGCCGTGACCAGGATTCGAACCTGGGTTGTCGCGGGTAAAAGTCCTGCCAGGGGCAATAAGAACTTGGGTTGTGTCTTCGAGGGCGAAGACCATTTTAAGGAAGTAGGAATGTAATGGTTAGGGCTGTGGATATCGGCCTGGATAGCTCAGTTGGTAGAGCACCTGACTAGAGATACAGGGGTTTCGGGTTCGATTCCGGGTCCAGCCATACATTTTCGCCTTTCCTGTTACAGATTTGGTGCCGTTGACCACCCCTGGAATTGCAGGAGAAAGTCTTACCACAGTCTAATAAGAACTTTGGTTGTTTTGTCTTCGAGGGCGAAGACCATTTAGGAATAATGGTTAGGGCCGTGGATATCGGCCTGGATAGCTCAGTTGGTAGAGCACCTGACTAGAGATACAGGGTATAATGCGGCTTAGCCATGCATTTTCTCCTTTCCTGTTACACAATAATAGATTGTATAGAAGAGAGATGTTGCAAAGCATCTGGTTAGCTGTAGTGCAGAACTGTAGCTCTCTGCTTGAGAAAATTCACAACAGACAGATAAAGCAGAGAGCTACAGATCCAAGCATTGTAAAAACCTTCGATTTACGCCGCCAATTTTTTGTCGCTGACTTTGGGTATTATTTCTTGTAGTTTATGCTTTCTCTGGCCTTTAAAATGATATCCGATAATAAATCATATATTATTAAATTCATATATATTCGATTAAACACCATCAAGTGTACCTAATATGTATATTACAAGATATTCATAACTTTACAATATTTTGCAGGCTGGTTTAAGGCGACTAGATGTTTCTCTCCTGACTCAGTTGTGGTCCCTAAATGATGCCATTCACGAGTACAAGTCGGCCATTCAAGACCGCTTCTCTGAAACCAATTCTGAATACTCATGGGGAATGAACAGTAGAACGAGTTCAATGTGTAGTATTGACGAGTGTGATGACTGGACTGAGGATCTACACATGAAACTGGATCACGGTCAGATAGGAAATTCTCTTCACAGTAGCACTTCCAGTCTTCTTCAACAGATCAACGAACTCAAAGAGAGAGCCGAGTCGGAATTTTGAAAAAAAAACCAAGTCTGAATTTTAAGGGGCAGTTCAGTTGTGCAACAGGAGTAGTGTGTTATTAGCTGGTCTGGGTAGATGTTGTAAAATGCATTGTAATTATTTCCTTTTACAAAGGCATGTTTGAAATTTTAATTCAACTAAGAATTAGCTTAGAGGAGGGAGGGGGGATATTGGCAATAAGAACAAAATTAAGACATGGTGGTTATAAAATTCAGTATCCTGGGAGGGGGATGGAAGGGGGGGGGGGGGCTGATGGGTTAAGAAGTCATGATTTTTTCAGTCAAATAAAAATGAAATTATTAGCCTTAAAGATCTTTTAACCAAACATTTTTAAAAGTATGTACATGTATATTTTATAGTAAAATGTACATGTACTGGTACATCATGTATTATCTATGAATTTGCTATACAAAAGCATCAATAAGGACCACTAATATTTTACACTTAGTAAATTTGCTGTTTGTGTACTTTAAAGTTAGAATATAGCTTTGTTTACCACTTTAAATATTATTTAACAAAATAATATATTTGTACATCTTAGGGTATAATAATTGTGTACAGATAGATGATCTTTCATTTTCTGTTACTTTCTCAATGTGTAACAGACATATGGCATATTTTCAAAGGGTACTCTTGAAATAAAGTAAGTTTTAAAATCTACAAAATGCTGAGAAATCAGCTTAAAGGGTACTAATATATAAATAAAGTATACATGTACACTGTGACAGTCACAGTATTCTTTTCAAAGGAAGGTGATAATTTATTGGTGGTACACTTTGTCTCAGTCATATTGTACACTAATATACTAGTCAAAGGATCTATCCACAGAGTAATTGCATGAAGTAACAATGTATTTTGTAATTTTGCATTTAATTCTTTTATGTGTAATTTAAAATATGCTGACTTTTATCTTGAGCTGATCATGACAGTTTTTTTCCCATTTTTGATTTGCTGGTGAATATTTCCTTGACATTTATGTATATGCTTCACACGTACTAATTTTGTAATGACCACAAAACAGCAAAGAGATTGGAGTTGCATGTGTATTGACTAGAATTGTAATTTAAATTTGACAGCTATTATTGTTTTGATTAAGACCCACAAAATATGCATTTAGTAGGTTCATCTCATCCAAGATATATTTTTCTTTTTCAATAGTAATTTGCAGTATATAATTTTAAAGGTGCTTTTAAAATAAGTTAGATAACTTATAGAAAGTATGTGTTCCTTTCTTGATCTCCTAATTGATAGAATTTTTAAAAAAGTAATCTCATTAATTCAAGAGCAACTACTGCATCACTGAATTTATAAAACTGTCTTTAAAAAAAAGCAAATTAAAGCTAAACATAGTGTATTTTTATGTGCAAAGTTGAAAAAAAATAGATGAATTATGGTACATTGTACAGTAAATCAGATTTTCCAGTATTGCTCTATAACTCTAAAATATTCTGAAGAATTTATAGAAAATAGGTAATTAAAAGAATTAGGACAAAAAAAATAGTAAGAGAAGTCACTCCTAGTGATCATGAGACTACTGCACAGTGGCACCTAAGCCTGAGTACACAATTTTGGCCACACCAAGTCATGGTTAAAACTTAAATGCAAATTTGCACAAGTTAAAGTTACTTGTACTTTATATACATGTATTATAGAATATATGTATACATACCTGATAGTTTATAAAATACAATACTACATAAAAATATACACATTATATAACTCCCTTATTAAGGACTATATATTACCCCACATAATCTACCAGGGTATATACATATACCAGTATTTATCTTTACCTGACAACTACCTCTATATGTAGATATGACCACCTTTAAGTATATTTATTATTTCTTGTACAAACTTTAATTGATTTATAAATGATGCAAGTATAAAATTGACTTTTAAGGAATATACAGTGCACGTGAGCAAAATGGCTTAAATAACAATATTTCCTGAGTTGAAAGCTCCAGATAATTGTGACTCCTAAATTAAAATCAAAGTTTACAAAGCAATAACCTGTATATTGAAAAATCTGCTGATAAACAACAGCAGGGACATTATGACTCGGGTGAGTGTGTTGGCCTAAGGGCATCTTTTTTCCCCTTGTGTAACTAAATTATTAATAGTTCAGCATACAGAATTTCACTTTAATGGGCATAAACAAGTTATTTTGATGTAACTTGATTCTTGCTTGAAAATGTAATTTTTGTTTTATTATATCATATGATGCAGTTTGTTGGTGACATCATTTTTTCTTAACATTCTTGCACTTGTTTTATTAAAAGCACTGTAATTTTTTGTATATATTGAATGGATATGCATTAGATGCATACTTTAATATTTATAAGTTGTATTGCTGTACCAAAGTATATTTTAAGGTGTATAAATTTATTTCAATTTATGTATTTATATGTGTAAGGATGTTTGGGGAGGGGGGTAGTAAATGTTTACATTGTTATATTGTTGCCCTGAAAAATATTGTTAGTATTGTTATACATGCAAGTATTAAGTACTATGAAGAATAAATGTTATATAACCTGACAAAACTAGTTTTGAAAAAAAATATTTTAAAACATATTATGGAGATACAAATTATTGTACTGTTTTCAATGTCTTAATATTTATACCCATGATCTGTTTCACTGTATATAGATACCTTTGTGTATGTTTAATACAAGATGAAGTTTTTCATTATGGGCATTTAAAAAGTGTAGTCATAGGGCAAGAAATCGATGGGCTTTACAATTTGTTGCATGCATTTACAAGAAATCAGCATTAGATTTGATATGAAATTTTAAGAAATGTATTGACTAGCCAGGTTTTGCAGCTTATTTATAAGGTCACAGTGCACATGAAATAGGTTGATGTGAAAACTGTAAATCAAAAAATAATTATCATTGTTTCCTCATTTTGGTTTTGTTTAACAATGTTGTTAACTTTCCCCTTAGAAGACAAGGTGCCTTACACAGGTGTGATATTTCTTGTTAATAAATCACAGAAACATCAAAATTGTTTTTCTTGTTTTGTTAAAAATCCCTCTGAGAATGTTTCACTTATACTTAGATGCCACCACTTTCTTGTGGAGGGCTGCAAATATAGATCTGTATTTGAGTTATGGCCCTTGAGCAGTGAGGTACCCAGTGTGACACAGGATCTCAGTTAAAACTTGTCTCATCAGAAGGACAGGTCCATGTCTTACAGTGAGATTTAATTCCCCAATCAGTTTACTCTGCCACTTTAGAGCAACTGCATTATGCACTACGCCCAGGACTGGCAGGAGAACATCAAAATATATATATTATTTCTCACTTTATGCTGGTTTATGAAATTAACTCTTTGCCTTGAGAAGCAGTTTATAAGATAATCCAACTCAAAGATGTAAAAGGTGAAGATAATGAACAGTGATCAAACAAAAATTCTATAAACAACACAAGTCTGTGAAGAGGGCATAAAATATGGACCCCTGGAAATTCTAGAGGTGAAATCAGGTGCCTAGAGGGAGTAAGCATCCCTGGTTGACCAGTTAAACCCGCCTTGATCTGTATTGATCCTTTTAGATGAAACATTTGATTGTCAAATCCAGTAAGCAACAGAAATGTTTTCATTAAATTCTGTGTTGGAAATTCCACTAATGTAATCAATAACAGATCATATGTATCGTTAAGAACATTTTCCCTTCAGTTGTGTAGATTATCTCTACCTGATTGTCAAAAATCATTATAAATATACTGCAAAAGCAAATATTCATGGGGGATTAAATTTCATTTATTTCGTTGTTTACAATTATCAACGAAATTAAATCCCACTTAAAATTTTATATGACTATATATTGAATAGGCTTACTTTCAAAACAATGAACTTAAATGCCCACAAAACAATTTTTTATGACAAATCAATGAAATTTTATCCCCATGAAAATTTGTGCTTCTAGAGTTGATGGATCTTTCATGCAAGTTATTTCAAGTTTTATAACTCAGAACTGTCGTGTAATGGATTTATATAGTTTTCTTGGACCATATATAACGCTACAGATCCTATTATGCATATAAAAAGCAATTTATGGCACAAGAATTCATGCAGTTTGGGAGAATTTCTCCATTTTACAGAATTGATCAATCAAGTACCTTACACTCCATAATTGTAGACACATTTTTCATCAACTTTTATATTTTATTCACCTCCTAACCCTTTACAGTCATCTCTACAGACCAAATAAACTTGCTGCTTTGAATTTTTTGTCTTCCAGCAACATTCAATCTAGGAAGAATCAAACTCATTGGAATTACTATTTAAATCTAATCACTCATTCACAAAATGTATAGGTCATGTGCAGCATCCGAAACCTTAAATATTGCACACTGCCAACCTAACAATTTCATAGAATCAATTGTGATCATGAATGAAATCTTTTTGCAAGGGAATGCTCAGTTTTATCTATGAATATATATATCATTCAAAATAACAAAACTAATCTTTTATAAGAGAAAACTTTAATTTCCAATTAAATACTGACATTGCTTGTTTGACTGTCTGTGCTTTCAACAGGACTGTGTAACTGAAAAAAAATAAAAGGAAGCTAGGTAATCAATCGAAAAAGCTTAATCTGAAAAGCAATACATGAAAGCAACTCTAAATCATGGAAATGAAATAACAAAGGAATAATCATCATTAATTAATAGCAATAAATGACCATTTATTTTCTTTCTTCTACAGATAAATGATAAAATCTGTTACATCATTCCATAAACCATTAGAAGCACAAGATATTTGGAATTCCTGAACTAATCCCCTGTACTTTAATTAGAAACTTCAAACACTATGCATAAATTATTATTCTATCAAGTTAAGTGAACTGGTTCTTGGGGCTAAATCAATATGTTATAAGCTGTCATTCTTTATTCATAAACTTACAGTTTTTGACAGATGAATCCAGTCCAACATCTGAGCGTATCTATCATCAGCTGATGGCTTTTTGTCGAGATTCCAGTAATAGAATTTATCAAATGTGTGAGTAACTATGGCATTTCTCTCCTCCTCTTCAGAAAATGGACGCCTTGGTTCTTTCATTATGATACCTATAAAAAGAAGTCAAAATATGGATAATTGGGGATATATTTTACCTTTCCAGTGATATACAGCCTACTCCGGATATATTGAAATTCAAGGGACCATGCAAATTATTTCAATATATCCGTAATTCAATATAAGCGAAATCGTTAAGCCGCCATTTTTACAAGTTCAATCCCGATCTAAAATAAAGGAGAACAAAACCGAACAAATTATTTTTGTTATCGTTTAACTATAACAGTAAACAGATTACATAGAATATGAGTCCTTGAAAGTTCAATTTTTTTTTTTTTTTAATTTCCGTTTCATTGAAAAGACAATCTTCAACCTCATTATTATTCCCCGATCGCATTTATTTACACTTTGGAGAAAATTCACTGGACTTAAAATGGTTATATTTGCATATTCACTGCTCTCGCCCACTATGAACATGTAGTCATCTGCTGCGTTCATAGGACTATAGACGCAACTGCTTCTACTATGAATGCAACTGCTCTATCATAATCGTGTAGAACAATCTCTTCTACATATATGTTACGTGTTGAGAAGTATATATATGAAATGTTTCACAAGAGGAATAAAAATAAGTTTTTAATAATATTCTTTGAAGAAAAATGAAATTCAGAATATTTAAAATTGCTAATTTATATCTTTAAAAATTCAATTTTGGTCAATGTATTTAATTGCATAATAAAACTTTTTAAAAATTATAGAGAACTGCCATATTTTTATTTTTTGTATCATGCATATTTGAACAAAGAACGATAACTCTTCACACTTGGGTAATAACGTTCAGAAAGAGAAAATTTCTTTAACTAGTATATATCTATTTCAAGAATGATTTTAGCTATTAAAAATAAATAGAAAAACTAAGAAAAAAATTATAGAAAAGCATTGTGGAGTAATAATCATTATAAAAGCATTCTCATTTTTCATCATAGTGTTAAATTATTGATTTTCGTCAGGTCTTAATAACGTTGATCGATGACGTCACAACTGCATCAAAACAAAAATGTGATGACGGCGCTGCTTCTATCCAGCTAGATAACTGTGTTTGAGAGGGAAATACTTTATAAACATGTTTGTGATTTATTAGAGAAAAGGAGCATTAATCAGGTTTACTGATTTTAAAGCCATATGTTTTTCTTTACTGAAGACAAGAAGCTGCGTCCTTATGTAAGTCAGGATTTCCTCTGATATTCTTGAAAAAAAAAATCAAAGAATGCAAATATAAGTACCGGTAATAAACAACGATTATTCACTATTCAGTGAACATGGCATTATGAATAGCAATAGCTCTGCTGGCATATTTTCCATGATGCGCTAGCGCGCATCATGGAATATGCCAGCAGCGCAATTGCTATTCATAACGCCATGTTCACTGAATAACGTTGTTTATTTCTTAAGTAGTACTGCTGATTGCTGCTTGTATTTCGTCGTAAGTGTACTCGGGTTAATCCCTTAGTTATTTCTAATTTAGGCATATCAATAGCCATTGACAGTACTATTTCATTTCAAAGTTATGTGTTTTTCCTAGATCTGTGAGGGTTACTATATCATGTTTAGCTATATAGTCTGACTCTCGATATGTCCGTATTATATAATGAACTACGTGGACGCAAAGAATTTGATAGTAAAGAATTTTATTTCGTAAGAGCATGCAGTATAAAAACACATAAGGTAAAAACTTTATTAATCACAACTGTGTATAACATATCAACTGGTCAATCAAGCATAATTACTGTCGCCAACCGTAACGACAGCCGCCAGGAAGTACTTCAATATAACCGTTATGAAAACAACTCATTATCACCTGTGGGGACCGATCAGTGGCTTTAATATAAGCGAAATTTCAATAGAATTTCAATATAACCGTTATTTTAATGCAAAGAATATGAGAGGCAAAAACTGCATGGGGATTTATTTCTATTTCAAAGTAAGCGGAATTTCAAAATAAGCGAGTTCAATATAAGTGGAGTAAGCTGTACCTGTATAAAAGACAGTTAAATCACTGTGTAACTGTTTACCATTTCAAACAGAGGTGCAAAGTACTTTACAACTTAGGTAACATCTGTACTTTACCTATGGTATAGATGGTATTTCCATAAAAGGATGCTCTTCTGTATGACATTATCATATACAAGAATCATCTTTTTTGCAGACATTAACGGGATTCAAGAGAATATTTTGGGGATGAAGAAATGTATGATAAATAACTTATTATAATGCATTGCAATTTTAGTAGAAGTCAAATATACTGCACAAATAAACTCACCTGAATAGCCACTTGGAACATTTTCTACCTTTCCATTTAATGTACGACCCCGAAAGCAAGCTGTGTATGTGTCTACAAAACAAAATTTAACAGTTAAGTATCTTATAACTGAGGTGTAAAAGATGAATATAATGAACACTGATCAATCTTTAAAAAAATCCATAAACAATACACATGTATGAAAAGGGTATAAAACAAGGGCCACTGTCCTACAAATATTCCTGAAGAGGGATCAGGTGCCTCAGTGGATTAAGCATCCCTTGTTGACCAGTCACACAACCTGAGAGCTGCATGTATTGTTCAGGTATTACCGTGTATGGAACTTTCCATAGTCGAATTCAGTCTAATCATGGTTAGGACCTTTATTTACTTTCTACAGAGGATAGAGCATAGCTCTGTGTATTTCTTGAACAATTTTATTAAGATAGTATATTTTTAATACCTGGCTTATCCTCTTCTTTGCACGTTTTTATGGAGGTGTTGAAATAGCGTCTTACTTCAGCATCACCATCGTACTTTATCTGGCACGGAAAGAAGTGCACTGATGAGTCTTTCTTTGCAGATTCCACAGTTACTTTATCCAGGTTCATCTTTCCGCGGGATAGATTATGGCCCGTTCAGTGCCAAGTGTATCAATCTCATCAGCAATAAAAATTCGTTTATCATGCACTCACCTCTTCATGACTTTTAAGTTTGAAATTGTAAATTATTCTTCATTATTTTACTGATTATTTGTAATATTTCCCTGCATGTATAACCTTTATAACAAACTTCTTGGGTTACAATTTGCAGACTAAACTGTGCATGCTAAACGCACCGTAATATACATCCGGTTGTCAACATGTGAGAGAATACCATCTAAAATACTATTAATTTTCAATTTAGCATGAAAAAACGATTTGATGGGAATAAATTTGGACTCCCACGAATAGTTAAAGCTGGAGCACTCTTATTTACAGGATTCCTCGCGTGGCATTACGCTGGGCTCACGGTTTACAACATTGCAAGTACCAAGGGTCAAGAGAAGTTGAGGAAGGAAGGTGTCCCTGAAGATGAAATAAGCAGAAGTAAGCAAGAGTCGTTGTGCTTCAGTTTTAAATCTTCATTTTCCACGTAGCAACTTCATGATATACATTTTAAATTCTTTGCTCTACATTGGTAAAAGCCTAGTCGATGTATTCGCTGCTATTCTATTTAGAGTAAATTCGGAATAAGTCTATGTAATGGTTTGGGCCGTGGATATCGGCCTGGATAGAGCTCACCACAGTTAGAATACGTCCCATATACTTGCAATGTAGCCAATCGGAGCGGATCCGCTCTGAAACGATTTTGAAGAATATAAAAGGACTTGCACTGGAAATAACTACCAAATTAATAAAAACAAACCTTTTTGAGATTGCTTATGCCTTTATCCCAGAAAATAATCCATCTAAAGACGAAAATCCAATTAATTTTCTCAACGTTTTTCTCTCGCTTCAAATTTACCTGCCATGTTTACATTCAGAACTCTCTAGATTGTTCGTAGTAAATGCACTGAGTTATAGTGAGTACGAGTTATTGCCCATGTTTCTTTTGCTACATTACGAATAAATTTGTAGCTCTCTATCGGCAAGTGGTGGTCCGTAGGACAAAATCATTTTAACAATAGAACATTCTATCTATGTCTTCTGATAAAAGCTCATCACTGTAAGCTGCGTCAATCGTTTGGGGCAGTGATTAAAGCGTCTGCTCTAGAGTCGCAAAGTTAGGAGTTGATCTTTATGTTGTGAGCTCGACTCCCACTGTGGGACGTGGAGACCGGTCCTTCAGATGAGACCGTATGAACAGAGGTCGTGTGTCGCAGTAGGTGCTGGCAAGAAAAAGATTCCTCACTGCTCAATGGTCCTGAGTGCCTAGCATAGGACAAAATTTGTAGCTCTCTACCGGCAAGTGGTGGCATCACCATATGAGTGAAAAAGTTCTCGAGAGGGAGTTAAACAACATACAATCAATCAATCACTATAAGCTGCAATTAACAAGACTAATACTAGTTTGGCGGTCAGCCGGGTTCGATCGCCGGTGGCCAGATAACTCAGTCGGTAGAGCACCTGAGTGGAATTTCAGGGGGCCCGGGTTCGAATCCTGGTCTGGTCCGCTGCATTTTCTCTTCTCCCGTTACACTAGTATATTTCAAATTTTAATTCATGTTAACATATGGTCATCCAATATTCCTCCACTTCTTAATTCCACTTTTATATTGCAATGAGCAAGGGAGAGTAAAAGGGGGCAGGTTTTGTTGTTTTGTTGGGCCCACTTTCACCTTTGTATTCTCCCCTTTAGGCCAAAGGTATGAGAATGCAAAGTTGTTGAGGTGAAAGTGCAAAGTTTGTTGGGCCCAATTGCACCTTTGTATTCCCTTTAGGCCAAAGTGCTATAAAGATGCGACATTAAAGCACAAGGAGAGAGTGTATAATACATGAAGGTGAAGAAGCAATACTAATATCCCACTTTCGCCTTTGCAACAGTTCTTTTTTGTCTTCACATTTTACTTCTGTGGAGCCCTTTATCGTTCTATTAAAGTTAATTTTAGGCCTTCACACCAAATGCTTATTAATGTATAGATGAACATGATGAAAAAAGGAGTGGAGCTTAGCCTCTCAGTATTTTTACTGTTAAATGTGAGTTTGATTTTTAATTCACCTTTTCCTAGAGATTTTTTTTGTACATGTATAATTATTTATACTTTCAGAGAGTGGATACCAAAGAGTAATGCACAAGGAAGGTGGAAGGGTTATAAAGTTACACTACAGAACTGTATTAGGTGAAAAGAAAGTCAAAAGTGAAAATCCAGAACTCCAGGTTGGTTCAAGATATTATAAACTGGAGTCAAAGAAATGTAAATTGATGCTTTTTATAAAGCTAGATTTCTACAACCCAGTACACACTACACCAAGTAAATCTATTGCAACTTAATGCTAAATGTAAAAGAAAATAAATAAAATGAAACATTTAAATACTTACAAAATGTTCAGATTTTTTAAAGTCAATTTACATTTATTTCAAATGTATATTGAAAACAGCTGGAAAAAAAAAGATAATTCAAAGGAGGTCATTCTAATAAATCATTGGACTTTTTTCTCTTGCAGGAGTGAAAATTCATACTTTGAACAACCAAGGAAAATGGATGTGTTTCTTCATAATACAGAATCACTCACTATATTGTTTTTTCCCGAAATCTGAAATGTACATACATGATCATTTTGGGACATATTGCTGCATAAAAAGGACACACTTGATGCATATTTTTAGCAAGATGGTGTTTTTATCTCAGGATGCCACAATAAATTTATATCTTTAAAATATTTTGAGTTCATGACTCATGAATATGATATTTGCTCAATAGTGCTCATTTATTGAATAATTAAATTTTTATGGCCCCCCCCCCCCCTTTCAAAGAAGGGAGGGCATATTGCTTTGCTGCTGTCAGTCGTTCTGTTGGTCCACCATCAGTTTCCATTTATTTTCTTCAGAGGTTGCACATATTGAAATGAAATTTGGTATACAGATTTATCATAAGAATATCTAGGTCAAGTTCTATATTGGGTACGATTGGGCCATTTTGGATAGAGTTGTGCCCCTTGGACTTACAAAAATTCCAAGAATTTGCAGTTTCTGTTCATTTTTTTTGCAGAGGTAGCACATATTGAAATGAAATTTATTATACAGATTTATCATGAGAATACCTAGATCAAGTTCTGTATACAGATTTATCATGAGAATACCTAGATCAAGTTCTGTTTTGGGTACAATCGGGCCATTTTGGGCAGAGTTATGCCCCTTGGATTTGGAAAAATTCAAATCATTTGGGAGAGGAGGGCATGTCTTTTAAAAACATCTCTCATCCACTGCATGCTATACTTCTAGTATGTCTTGGAGGAGAGAGCCCCGTACAAGTTTTAGCATCTAGTTTTTTCCTTTCTTGTAATTTTTTTAATGACTGCCTCTGCCCCATCCCCATCTTTTGTCTAAGGCCTGTCTCCAGTTATATCTCGCATATATGTTCCTCAAGGAAATTACTTAATTATTAGGCTTGTAACAGAGTGACTGTTAACAGTTTCATCATTTACAAGCTTGAGAAATCTGATTTCTTATGGTAATTTAATTTTATAACAGTCAAATATTAGATACATGCATACATTTATATTTTTTACAGCTGCAATACATACTGTATAAAATATGGCTGTATAGGCATTAACAAAATGAAAGATTAAGGGTCTCAATAATAAACATATGGGGAATCCAGACCAGAAGTAGAGTACATGTATAAATAAAATGTAGAAATTGGAATGAAAAGAAATTAAAGAAAAATAAAAGTATTATGAAAAATATACTGCTAATATAATGGTTGATGTTCAAAAATATATACATATTTTTTATTGAAAATTGTACTATTTCATCAAGTTCTCTAGATTTATTAACACTGCACTCAAATAACTTGATACAATGATTCACTATATGGAATGGTGGTGCAATTTTAATTTTTTTGCTTTTTGGTTCACTTGGACGTTTAAAAACAAATCAAACTAACCTAGGTATTTGTTTTAAAAATATTAAAACCCTGTATTGGTAAAGTAGAAAAATGTATTTGATTTGATACAGATAATGCATGCAGAGAATAATGCCAAAAAGTCGGTAATAAAAAAATATTTTTTTCTTTTTAGCTTTAATTATGAAAGCATTGTAATCATTATCTTTATGAACATTATATATTTTTATTTGCATATATGTTAATGACCAAAAAAAAAAAAAAAAGAAGAAAGAAAGTAAAACAAATAAATCTGTTCATACACCTGGAATGCTTGACTGAGATAATAAATATATATTTTTTCAAATGAATTATGATAGCAACAGAAAATTTACCAAGCATTACAATGAAAATCGCGGTAATTTGCGAAAATCGGCGCAGGATTAAGTGCAAAAATTTACTGAACACACTTTTTTTTAAATACACACTTTATAACTTCTCTTAATCCTGACATCCATATCGCAGCAATATGGAGAAAATTATTTATTCATTTATTTCAACAAAGTACAAGATAATATTTAAAAGTATTAACAGATTTTTTAAAAGAATAGTTACGGTGATTTTGAAATAATGTGACTTAGATGAAATAATTTTATTTCAACAAAGCAAGAGATATTGTCGAAAGTTTTATCAGTTCTCATATTTAATTTTGGTTCAAGATAATCATGCTGAAAATTTTCTTACAATATTTTAACAGGAAACGAAATTGAAACATCAAAGTATTTATTTCTTTAAGTAGACAAACAAATGATAATTTTCAATGATACCACTTTTATTAAAAGTTTTAGCATAATTTATATTTCATTTGTCAACTCTCAATTATTTAAACAAGAGGCCGGTAAGTATAAGATAAGGTAAAGTGTTTAATTGTTTAAAGTGCCGTATAATCAACACACAATCACACATAAAGGTATAAACCGACCCCCTTTTTAACAAAGAAAATAATCAAAGCAATTAACATGGCAGTAAATAATCAGTGCTGTAACTGTAAAAACATTGCTTAATATAAAGGGTTTTGTAGGTAATTATCATTTGACAAGCGCACGTGTGTCACAACATTGGCTTCCTTTCATTCAATTAAATAATGCAGATTATCAATGAGTTATTTTAAACCTAAAATTAATATTTATTTTATTGTATTTCATTAAAAAATGATTTATTACTTTGTCTGGCAGATAAGGTTCATGTGCACTATCATTACGGAAACATGACATAACATGAGTTAACGTCTAAAATAACATTTGTTTTCCTTGGAGACGATCAACATGAGCTCAAATTATGGATTACTTTTTCATGTTATTTTGGAAAGATGTGAAAGTGACATTTTTAAGAACATAGTGAATATACGAAGTTTAAAATATGGCAATAAACAAAAGAAAAATGTCTCTAGGTAATACTACGGTATGTAATGATAGCCGTGTTTCACCTGAAAGAAAAACTTGTCAAAATCCCATTGTGATGATGTACAGCAATTTATTTTAGAAAAAAGTGCGTAATTTTTCGAAATACGGTATATATTTTTTTAAATGTTGATAAATTTTTACATGGTGCACAGCATTGTGCACTTTTCTTGTGTATATTAAAATAACTATTAACATGTATTGATTAAAGCTCTACTTCCTCTGGGTAATGACTAGAAATGGCAGAAATCCCTAAAATATGCTTACTCATAAAATGCCTCCATTAAAAAAGTATAATAACAAACAAATGAAAAGGATAACAAAACCATAGATATTTACAGGCAAGCACTCAAAAGATGCACAACTTTGTTGCTACCAAACAATTACAAATATGAGATAAAAATTCCTTCAGGTATTGAGTTTGCTTAATATAAATTGTGTTTATCTGTCAACACCAATCAATTAAACAATGAGTGCAAGACGCAACAAAAAAAGAGATAGAATTGACATGATCAGACTATTGACACATACACATTTCCTCAAAATTGTTTTCCCTAAACATGATCAAAATGGATTTTACTCAGTTGAAAATTGCCTAAAAGTGAATATACATGTTATAAAAAAAATGCTCAATCTAAAATTCTCATCTGGTAAAATTGTCTGATGTACAGGGAATAAAGGTAATTTTTCAGATACTGTAAATCACTTTTTATTTGCGAGAACTTTATTTTCGCATAATTACGCGAGACAGCTAGCTCGCGAAAATTTAATTGTCACGAATAGTAGTATTCCTTAGGATAATATATAGCAAGAACCACAATTCGTGAAAATTTTGTCTCGCTTATCAAGAGTCAAAGACTATGTTGCGAAAATAAGGTGTCGCTAAAATTTAGTGATCTACAGTATTTTAAATGTTGAAATTTTCAGTGTTGATTTCTACACTGCTGACTACAAAAAATATATCCTTTGTGCATTAATTTCTGTCTTCTAAATACCATTTGGGCAGGAAAAATAATCAATCAAAGGTCAAAGGGTTTAGTTTATGGATTTGCATTAATAATACCGTATGGAAATGTCAATATTATCAGTTTAGAAATGATTCCTACAATGCTGTCAACATAGTGATTCAAATAATGCTGCCAGGTTAGTGCTGACTTCTACAAATTTTTCTGCATAATCTTGATTTCTACACTGCTGACAGCATAGTGCTGACTCCTACAATGTTTACAGCATAATCTTGATTTCTACACTGCTGACAGTATAATGTTGATTTCAATACTGCTGACAGTATGATGTTAATTTCTATAGTGTTGACAGCATGGTGTTGATTTCTACAATAACTCCCACCCATCGTCGCTGGAGATACTGGTAGAGCTTCTCTTTGGTAGCAGTTTATCCTGATCAGATGCACTGTTCTTATTTAAATACTTGGTGAATCTTCTGTGTAGCTGTCCTTCCTGACTCACTGCCCACATCTGATCAGAATGGCTAACTAAAATACATACATAAATAAAGATTATTATTTTTAATAAGTTCTTGCTTGAATAATGCTTTATGCTTCTAGAAAGCACACAAACACAAGCCCTGAATATCATAAAGTCCACATCTATACTACTGAATGCTATTATACCTGATATCTGATCAAACACTCCTGGGACTTTTCTCCAGTAATCCCCTGTGGGATTTTTCATAGAAATGCCAAAGCGACACAGGATTTCTCCATTGGGATTTAATGCCCACACACACTTTTTTGAAACTGTCAACTGTGTGGCTAAAGTACCTGTGTAAAACACAATAGTTTGTTGATTTTCTTTGTGAAGAAATAAAATAATCAATGACTAAGTTTAAAATACAATAAATTGATTGCTGCTTTATACATTAATTATAGTGTTTTATTATTGACTGAATTAAAGCTTGCAGAAAAAAAAATTCTCTATACCTGGGACATGGATCCAGTCCTCTCCTATTGGCATGTCTTCTGTAACACCCTTCCTAGCGTAAACTTGACGGCGGTTATCAATGGCCCACACCTGTAAATTGTTACAAAATTTTTTTTACCAGGGGTAATTGGGATTTACCAGTTTATAAAAGTACAGCTGTATACATTTACTAAACTTTGAGCTACCATCATTGTAGTAAAATTATAAAACTTTATTTATTAAAATTACAGGTAGATTCTAATAAATGTCAGGATTGTTTTTGTGATCTCTGCATAATCATATGACTATACTAACCATAAAATCTTTGGGTCCTGTTGCAATGTTTGTAAATACTGTAGATGTCTGTCTGCCCATATCTACTGGAAGCCAGGCAGCATTGAGGGAGTGGGAGGTCGGGGCTTTGACCCCAATCCTCTGGTACACGACCCCCTGGGTATCCACTGCCCATACATGAACCGTTCCACAGCTAATTGACGTCAATACGGTGTCACCTAGGAATGAAAGCAGTAAAGTTATTGCAAACTCTGCATCTAAAATCTAACAAGAAATTGTTATTTCTACTTTAATATTTAATTCTCTCTCTCAAAGTGTATAATTAGAAATGTCCCATTAAAATATGCTTTTATCTGACATCCAGTGTTTTTCTCACAAATAAGTTTTTAAAACTTTCACTTTACTTTGTACTAATTTATTCATGCATTCATGGACTGTATGAGTTTCCAACATGTATGGCATCTCTCATCTATCTCGAAACATGACAATTTCTAGTCAACTTCACATACCCAGTTGAGTAAGGTCCAGTTTGCACCATCCAGATCCCTGTGGATTACTGGATCTAATCCCATTCCGTATAAAGATCTGATTGTCCTCAGTAAGCACCCACACAGCATCCCGACAGACACACAGACAAAGTACTCCTTTCCTGTAGGAAGGGGACTCCACCATGCTACATTTCTCCAGGTTTGATGAAAAAGTGTAGATGTCTCCATTAGGTTGACTAGCCCAAATAAGTCCTGTGCAATTTATGCAAAAAGCAATGTACCTATATGCACTACAGATTTTTATACCGATAGCAGCTGTATTTGTTTTCTCTTCAGTATAATAAAAGGTACAAAAATTTACATTTGTTTTAAACTTTTCACAATTTTTTTCACTCAATATTGGTTTACCAAACAATAAAAATGTGTATAATGTACAATCACTAAAGGATCATGTGGAATAATGACCAAAACAAGAAATCTCTGGCAAGACTGTAGCTCCTAAGGCTTTCTGGTCAACCTGTAACTGGACTGTCTTGTTACTAAGTCATTACCTTCATCGCTAGCCTGAGCAGTGACTGTTTTCCAAATGACAGAGCTTACAATCCCAGGGATCTCTGCCACTTCCCATGCATGTCCTAAATGATAAAGAAAGCCAAGATCTTGACATTTTATGAATCTTGTGTACATCTTGAATTAAGATGATAATCAACCAGTAACTTTTATCTATATGTGAACATTGAAAATATTTTAAAATTCTTTTTAAAATTCAACTTCCTTAACAACTACGCAGTGCACATTATAAATTTTTTGTTTGGGAGGGGGGGGGAGAGTGGAAACATTACCTTGGATAACTCCTCTACAGATTTGTATCAGGTTTTTGAACTCTGGACACACCCACACCCCAGCTTTACCGGCTGTGATTAGTCCACCTGTCTGGGAGCTGATCAGGGAAGCCAGCTTCTGAGGATCAAACTTCTCCGCCAGGGACCGTAGAGCATCTATTCCAGACACGTCCTTTACTACAATTTCACTGACTGGAACCTGGATTATGAGAAAATGTAGTTAAAGGAGTTAAGCTGGATCTGAACATCGTCTTATTGCATGCATGAAGTAAAATACCGTAAATCTGGAAATTTTTGCTGTAGATAAATTTTTAGCAAATTTGCGAGTTCATTGCATTCGCAAAAATATTTTTCTTAAAAATAAAATACCAATAAGAAAATGTAAACAAAGCAGTGATCATTCGCAAAATTTTGAAATGTAAAAATTAATCAACAGCATTTTGACCCGAATTCGCAAAATAAAATCGACGTAAAAATTTCCAGATTTACGGTAGCTATTCCATATAAAATAAACAGGACTGAAATTTACAATACAATGTATTTTTACAATGCATTATTCATAGAATTCCTTTTAGGAAATGACGAAATTGCAGAATCAAAACTGGATGGACAAGCAAACCTAACCTAATTTCTTAGTTTTACTTGATAAGCCATTTGATCTTAGTTACCTCCCACCAGTTTCCATCACCAGTTGGAGTTTCCATGGTAACACCAGTGGTAAACCATATCCTATTAAGAACATCTAATGCCCACAAAATCCTATCCACTCCAAAAGCAATGGCACTGAACAACATTTCCTGACTACACTTGCTGTTAAAGAAAAAAAAAACAATGCAGTGAATGTTTGTGATGAATGCATGGAAAAAAAAAACTACACTGCTAAAACACAGCCTTTAATTTGTACCATTTAATAATCTTCCACTCTTTTCCTTCCACACACTCCTTGGTTATTCCAACCCTATACACCAGTTGGCACTGGTCAGTCAACCCCAAGACCACTCCCTTGTAGCAGGCAATCTGGGTCAGTTTGAAGTCACAGGTGATCTTCACTGCTTTAAAACATGGCCTGTCCCTGGACAAGCCCTTCTGCATCACAACATCACCATTTGTTTTCAGGTACCTGAGAAAAAAAATTAATGAAAATGAAACAAATAAGAAGAACAAGACCAAAGAGAATACTTTCCTTATTGAAATTCTACTAAGGTATATGTACTATGTTGTATTATTCAAACTTAACAATTCAACTGTTTTTTTTTTTTAAATAATACAGCCCTATGAAAAAGTCTGATCACCTATTGTGCCCCTTCCATCCCTCCTTTGGGTCCATGATTAAAACATTACAATACATGATTAAAACATTACAATACCTGTGGATGCTTCTATGTAAATATTTTTCTTGAAATGATGCTACAAAATTGTATTCTTTATTCTTAATTTTCTCCCCTTGAAAAAGGTGTGGCTGTTCCTTGAACTTGAATTTGGTATATGGAAGCTTTGTTGTAATTTTGGTTGAAACTGGCCCAGTGGTAAAGACAACTGTTGATCTAAGAAAAGCTCATTTTAGCCTTTGGCTCAGGCGAGCAAAAAATAAAATTTGTACTTAAGGGACTGGGGTGATACCCCGTACCCTCAACCCCCTCCCTCTCAATATTGCAGTTTGGAAATACAATCATATGTAAGTAGAAATGATTGATCTGTTCTTAGTTGCATCTACATGCATGACGGCCATGACACAGATGCTACATGTATGGCACATCATCTCCCTTACTACAATGAGGTGATTTAAATAATGATACACAATTTACAAGATTCTTACCAAGCTACACTTTCATCCACTGATATATATTGCACCTCCCTAACTGCCTCTATCCACTTCAGACCTTCTGGATGTTTGGCTGTTAACTTGGTCCCAGCATATACAGTGTCTTTATACAGTCTCCATACAATACTCCCAGATCTAGACACTGCTATCATCTTGGCATAGCCATTTGCCTTCTGCCACTTCAGCCCTGGATTAGTCAGACTGCAGTGCCACAAGTTGGAACTTCTATCCACATGCCAGATGTGTGTGTCAGTCAAACACAGACAGGACAAATTGCCAGGAGTGAATATTTCTGACCAGTTGTTGATCACTTTGTATGAAGGCTCCTCCATGTCATCTTTTCCTGAACTGACAATCTCATTTTCTTCATGATCTTCTGTGGTTGAAGGCATGAGTGGATGCTCTGTGACATCCTTCTGTGAAGTCACATTGCTATTGGATGTGAACATTTTGTAGAAATCATCTGGCTCTGGAGATGAAAAGAGACTTGGGTCTTTCTGTGCAGGTGATTTTAGAAGAGAATTTTCTGAGGAGCTATTAGAGACAGGTGAAGATTTAGTTAATTTTTCTACACTGGGTTCCTTCTTGTCACTTAATAAAATCTTCTCTGCTTCAGTTACAGAAGTGGTGATTTGAGATAATGCTGTGTTTAACACAATTTCTTTGGGAGTTTTAGATGAATCAGGTATTTGTTCATCCTTTACATCCAAAATTTGTTTTTCCTTTTTCGGAGCTAATGAAGTTTCAGTATCTTTTTGTACATGTATCTCTTTAGACTCAATTAAATGACCTTTTTTTTCTAACTCTACTTCCTGCTTATGAGTGCCTGTTTTGTTGTTATCCAAACTAGTTATTTCCTTTTCAAATTCTTCTAAACTTTTAGACAAGGATTCACAAGATGAATTTCTCATCCCTTGCAAAGGGAGAGCTAGATGGGACTTTTCAGCACTGTGTGATCTTTTTGTACTTGGTGCCGGTGATGACTCCCGGCTTCGCATTTTCTTCACATGACCTTCTGCATCAACTACAGTCATGAATTTAGGTTTCTCCTGTAGCTCCTCTGTGAAGTATGGCCCTTCACTGATGTCACTTTTGATGGAGATTGTATCACTACTTTTGAGAGAAATGCTGTCTTCTGTGTTTTCCTGGTCCAAGACACCACTAAGATAAGGGGAATGTGTAGAGTCTCTGTCACCTTTCAATCCTGCAAATACAAACTTTGTAGATAATGATACACTGCAATACTGTCTAGATTTATTATGATTTAAATCTTTCAAATTACTATATAATATTTACTATTTACTATTACTAACAGCAGTTCTCTACAACATATCTCTTGCTTTTGAAGCAATATAAATACAATCTAACTTTTATAGGTAGCAAAACTCAAGATATTTCTTTAAAATTGAAGTCATAAAAAAATTAAACCTTTTTTCTTTTTCTTGTGCCTTTTGTGTTTAGAATTGAACACTATATCATCATCCCCAACTGCTGATGATAACTTCTCCTCTGTCACTGTCACACTTGAATAAGCACAATTATTTTTAGCACTACCATCTTGAGTGGCTTGAACTTTGACCCCTGATGGTCCTCTAGGTATCAATGTTCCTGTAGATTCAATAGAAGATTTGTCATGAGAATTATCAATCTGCAAATCAGAAGAACTTGGGACTGAATTGGTCTCTAAATCCTCCTTAAGAAAAGGATTAAAACGAGTGGTTGGGGAAACAATTTTCTTTTCATCTGGATTGTCAACTGTGTCCTTTTTACTAGAGGGAATGTTATCAGTGAAAATTTCTACAGTCAGTAAGTCTGGGGTCTCCAGTTTCACGACCGGAGGCAGTTTTTGGTGGAGCTCAGTCTCGCGTTTTATCACTGGAGGAAGATCCTGAGGAGGCTGAGCATGAGGGTGATCTCGATGATCGATCTCGTGCTCAGTTATCTCAACCGAGTCCTCCAAATGATCCATGGAGGACAGGAGATGTTCAACCCCAGATTTAATGGAGCCTCCAGTGGACTCTATGGTTGATTTCAGTTTATTCTGGATGAAGTCTAATGGTGAAGGTTGACTGGGCTGTTGAGAAGTGTTAACATGCAATGTAGATTCTACTGGCGGTGCTGATTGTCGCATTAAAGCATATTTCTCCTTCTCATGCAAAAGTTTATGATATAGAGATTCTGAAATAGAATAGAAAGAAGAATGCTCAAAATCTTGCTTGAAAATAACATACTACATATACCTAGATATTAGTTTGACTTGTGATCCTGATCATCCCTTTTGCATTATACAGGTATGTTTTATCCTTTAAGTAACAAATAAGAATTTGATCATTTCAGTCCTGGATATGTCCCAGTGCCAAAATCAAACCTTTAAAAACATTCTCTACATTTACATATCATGGCTATTGATCATTGCAGTAATTTTTAGCAACTTATAAAAAGTTAAAGAAGTTCCACACAGGATTGCAGTATGAAAGTGGAAGGGATCATTCCATCAATCTCTTTTGATAATTGTATATAAAAACTCACAAATTCTGTGAAAATTTGGTCCAAAATCCCCCCTGCCCTTCTTCCCCAGTTATAGCCTCACTTGACAAACTGCTTTAACAAGTTTGGTACCAGCAAGAACACGTTACATAAAGATAAATGCAATGCATGGCAGACAAGGAAAACAACTACAGTGCTTCAACTTTCTTTAGAAATTCAGATATAATTTAAAGAATTGACAAAAAAGCAGTCTTCAAGCAAATGGAAAATAATAATGGAAAAAATAATGATCATATGAATCTGTCAAAATGTATTTTCAGCAAATGCAGCATATCAAAATTGTTGACAAGCATAATATTAAAATTTTGCTATGCAGCTATCTGATTATGGTAATGAATGATAGAAAAAAAAATCAATACAAGCACATTATCAAGTAGAAAACACATCAAATATTTCTGCACAATTATACTGACAAATCCCCACCCTTTAAAATTACTGACAATAAGGTTTACACCTACCTCCCTTCTTTTCTGGATATACAGCTACCCGGACAAGATTCCTTTCATTATTCTTCCTCAGAATAAAAATCTCATCTTCACTGACCACAACATCCACTACTGCCCCTAGTGCCCGCTGACTGCCCACAACAGAATTGTCCTCTGGACTCAGAACATAAAGAGAGGACTCATTCCATGTCACTAAATACTTCTCCATATATAGTAACAATGGTCCAAACTGATGGTCTGAAACTCTGCTAGCAGGGATTCCATTCTTGTACAACAATTGGATTTCTGAGTGATTAGAATTGAGAAGTTCTTTGAAGAGATAAGTATTGCTGACTGTACCATTCATGTCAGCTTTCCAGATTCTGGCACCTGGTCGACAAGCATACAG